ATATATATATATATATATATATATATATATATATATATAATGCGTCGTCACACGTATCAATTATGGATCCTTACAACATATGTGAGTAATTTAACTGGTTAGACCCTACCAAACTACAACATGTGACCTATCTCAATCAGGTCATCTAACAACTCAATTTGATTTCTTAGGTTTGTCACTTAAATTATGAAGTCTAGTACTACTATCAGAGTATAACTATTTAAGTGTAAGTTTCCACGACATTAATTTGCGTCACTAAGTCAACAATGAGATTAGTCCACTGACTACTCTCCAAATATTACGCCCCTTTAATACTCGATTAGGGATTAGTCCCTGACTTTGTACTTTAGTCAATTGGTCGCTCTATACATGTATGTATCAACTTTATCTACATACAGATATCACATAAAATTTAATGAAGACAACACAACAACTCACCATTCAAAAGTCAACTTACTTACTGAAGGTTTTTTAACATTTGGACTACCAGAGCACCATAATGTATATTCACACAATTAGATATTAATTTTCGAAAGCAACACTTACTCTCTTATAGTTTTTTTTTTTGTATCTTAGCAAATACATGTATCTCTACCACTTGCTAGCAGCTTAACAACTTAACAACTTGAGCAACTTAAACATCATACAGTTTAATAACTCATTCAATTATAACATCTCATAACTTGTATAACTTATTCATTAATCAACTTATAGCTTAACAAGATGAATCTCATCACATAATGTATCAACTCACAACACATAGATTCATCATCATACATCACCATCTATACAACATATTCATCATCATACAAATTTAATAAAATCAACTTTCATCATGCAACTCATGTCTAACGCCACTCACAGGATGCCCAATGCTATTAAGGCAAAGGGCTCCCTATCTCGTTCATGCTCGACACCAAACTACTTATGCTCGACGTAGTTGAGAGAGAGAGTTTCCCACACTTTCATGCTTAGCGTGGAAAAACCCACACTAGCCCCAATCAGGTAGAGGGCCTCTGTCTGACTCATGTCCGACGTTGTTCCATTGGGGCCCGACATGAATCCAGGCAGAAACAAGTCTCTCTTATGATGTTCGACGCCATTTAACTCACATCTAGCATGGTTAAGCCATAGATGATTATCTGTCATCACATTTGACGCCACTAATCATGTGTCTGACGTCCAAAGAATGAGAACCTCTAACTTCAAGCCATGACTAGCGCCATGAAGACATGCCTAACGTAATATTAGTTTTTGCATAGTTACATAACTGATTTTTGGTCCAATCTACCTTAAAACTTAGCGAATTCCAACATGCAACAAGCTAGACATCACATATACAACACTTTCAACACGAAAATGACCTTATAAGCAACATGCAACCAACCAATCACAAAATCAAACATTAACCTCCATGAACAAGCTTTTAGAAAACCACACAACTTCAACCATCACAACAATGAAAATCATCATCTCATTTTTATCAACAAAAACAAGATGAATCATACAGCACAATCCACGTAAAATTCACAAATAACACAAGTTTTTCTTACCTCTTGTAGATCTAAACCAAGGAGAGGAAGAAGAGAAGTCCCATACGACCCCGAAACGGGATTTCAATTCCACAAGCTTTAATCTTCAAGCCAACCAATTGAGTCAGCTACCAAGAAGAAAAAAGGGAAGATTTTCAAAAAAGAAGAAATGGAACAGGGTTTTGAGTATCTAGAGGTTTTCTCTCTAACTTCTTTTTAGAGTTTTTTAAAACATGAAATTATGAGTCCACTTCTTAAGAAAACCTTTACATACCTTCCTGAAGCTAACCCAGCTTAACTACATCACAGGCTCGCTCTCAAAGATAACTCAACTCTCAAAGCCCTCTAACTCCAGAGTCCATAATAAAAAAACAACTAAATAGTATTGTTAGAATAGTGGATTAAGCCTAACTCAACAATTGCAGAAGAAGTTACATACATGCCGACGCTGCGACTGCTCCATCAATATCCAAATATAATGAAGAAGTTGCAAGTTGACCGTGGTGCAATAAGATTTGTCTTGGCTGGTGCAAACATAATGTGCCCTGGTCTTACATCTCCTGGGGGTGCTTTGGATGAGGATGTAGGGGCAGAATGTCCTGTGGCCATCATGGCAGAAGGAAAACAGCATGCTCTCGCTATTGGCTTTACAAAAATGTCCGCAAAAGACATAAAAGCAATCAATAAGGGAATTGGGGTTGACAACTTGCATTATCTCAATGATGGTCTTTGGAAGATGGAGCGACTTGATTGAAGATGTAACAAGAGCTTCAATGCCTACAAATGATTGACGAGTTCCTGTTTTCTGGACCTTGATCCAGATCGTAGGGATCTTATGCAAACTTGTTTATTTGTTTTGTTATACCGTGTAAACAGTAAAGAAATGAATTTTGTTGCAGAGAGTGCTCTCTTTTAGTAAAAAAAAAAAAAAAAAGTTAGGCTTAATCCACTATTCTAACATGGTATTAGAACCATTTAGATCCACTTTAAAAATGGGTCACCCACATTTGATGCATGACTCATAGCCATGAGGGGGTGTATTAGGAAAAACCCAAGTCCCGCCAATCCTAGATCATTAAAAAGGGCCACCCACCATTGATGCATGCCTCATAGGCATGAGGGGGTGTATTAGGAAAAACCCAAGTCCCACATCTACTAGAGATTAGACAATTTAATAGTATATAAGTGGAAAGCAACCTTCACCTTACAAGCTGATTTTGTAGGGTTGAGTTAGGCTTAATCCACTATTCTAACAAATATAATTTATATAATCACTCAAAAATTAAATTAAACCACACAAAACCATAGTGTTACACTAACCACATCATACTCTCATGTAAATATGATCATCGTAGTCCAATTGAAGAAAAAAAAATGCAATCGTAAGCTAAATTTTCCAAAGAATAAATATATACAAGTATAAATGATATACAAATACACCATCAACAAAAACATGTAAATCATCCAACATGTATACCATGGCTTACATCATACAACACCTAACATGACACCAACAAGTTTGAAAGGCAAACAAAACAAACTTACAATGCAACCATGCCACACAACCATATAATCACCAAAATCATATGAATATCAAGCACATCACATGCATATACCTCAACTAATGCGTCGTCACGTATTCACATGTAGAGATCTTCAACAATAGGGTGAACCGTTTAAGTGACTTGATCCTACCGAACCAATACGAGTCTTTTACACTTGCTAGGTCAACAGCCAAATTAGGATACCAATACCTAACAATATGATTTCTCGAGTGTCACCACTTAAATTAGGAAGTTTAATATTTCTATCATGATAGAATAATTTGGGTATAAGTCTATCACATTATTAGTTTGCAACACTAAGCTTCTTATAGAATTAGTTCACCAACTATTTTCCAAATACTACACCCTTTAGGTACTCGGTTAGGGACCAAGTCCCCGATTTTGTACTCAGTTGGTCACTTTATAAATGTATGTCTTGATCTTGCCCACATATGGATCAACATCCGTCACTTATAACCTACATGTCTCAACCTGACTTACATACCTCATCTATATGCATTGCCCCAAGTCAATGAGTATATGTCAAACAACATTATTCAATTTACAATACTAATGCACCTTAATGTTGTTCAACATATAATAATCCATATATAATTCAATATACATAGAACAAATATCACCCATCAACATATAATATATAATAGATTCATATAACCTATTCACATTCACTAAGTAATCATGAAAATGACAAGTTAAAATAAGGTAACTTGCACCCAATGCTACCCACCTTAAGTCTGGTGTCGTTAAGGTAGGAAGTCTTTTGTCTCACCCACGCCTGGCACCATACAACTTCTGCCCAATGTGGATTAGTCAGAGACCCCTAAGCTCTCACACTCGATGTGGCAAAGTCCCACGCCTGACCTCAAACCAAGTAGAGACGATTTCCTCTCCTCACGTTCGATGACACTTTTTTGGCACCCAATGCCAATCTAGGCAAATCCAATTCTTTCACCTTATGTTCAACGTCATTTAAATTACGCTTAACGCCATTTCAACTTGAGACAATTCTTTTTCCTCACGTCCAACACAACTGATCTTTCACCGAGCATGAGCAAGATAAAATACCCCTAGTCGAGGCCACCATGATGCCTTAAAGGCATGTCCAACGTGATGAAGGGTTTTGCACTTGAAGATTCATGAATTTGGTTCAAGCCACCTGAGAAATAAAAAAAAACCAAACTTGCAATATACTATTTTCTCTCTCTCTCTTTATCTATATATATATATATATATATATATATATATATGTCAATCATCTAAAATATAAGCTCAAATTCAACATGCAACCACAAATTGACTAATATCATCAAATTCATCTCAAGAAGTCCAAAACCCCAAAAGTCCAACATTTTTATCATAAAATTAAAAATCCATCAACATAAACATGTTTGATCAAACAACATGCAACTCAACAAACAAATAACAAATCATGTTAGCTTCCGTTACCTTACCAAAATCTCTAAACCCAAGAAGAAGAGGAAGAAGGAAAAAGAAAGATCTTTAATTCACCCTAAAGCCTAAACTATGATTTACGATTCACCAACCTGAATCAACAAAATACAAATAAATTAAGGTTTTAGGAAAATAATCATCCTCTTAAAAGGTTTAGGGATGAAGAGAATTAATAAACTCAAAACACTTTTCTCTAGCTTATTTCTTTATATTCTCTCAATTATACCTCAAAATAACTCAATATAATTAATTGTAAAAAAACAATAATTAATCAAAACTTATAGTATTACATCAAGAATGTGTTTAATAATTAAACGTTCTCAATAATTTATAAATTTCTTTAACAAATTGAGAACTTATTATTGTTTTACCATAATATTATTTAATCTCTTGTTACATTCCTAGAATCTTTGTGTCTATAGTCATTTTATATTTCAATTTTAATTGAATATACATTAAGGTTAAAAAAGTTTCACTTTTATCCTTTCATTTTTCAAAATTTTAATAAAGTCTTACAGTCTTATTATTTATTTGACAAAAATTACATACAAAATCATATATTAAAACAAGCTGCCAAACTTTTGTAATTTGTAAAAATAGTTGAAATTAGGATTTTTTGCAAAGCATCCTAAGAAAATATAATCGTTGTGAATAGTGTACAAACAGAACAGAACCCTGAGAATCGAGCCTTATGTCTCACTCGAATGATTCAGATCGGAATGGCACGCGCTATTGTATGCCGGTTCATCCCACTCTCGGTGCAAAATCTCCATATCAGGTGCTGTACGGCTAAAATTGTTCCAGGACATGACTGTGTTTTACCAAAACAGGCCCAGGCCCAAATTGCACGTGAACATATACATTATATAGTTTTGTCGTTTCATAACTTTTAAATGTGATGCATAGTCATTAGTCTCTATTATATTGGACTTCTTGTTGTTTGTTTCACAGGGGTACATAGATCTAAGAAAGTGGATAGTAATTTAATTCGTAAAATATTTTTTATTTATTTGCTCTTTAATTTAAAATTTAAAATTATTGTCTCTTTTTATTTTCTGTTTTCTTAAAAATAAGAATAATTGTTTTACATCCTTTAACATAAAGGTTAATTATTAAGAAATAAAATGTGGATTAAGTTAAGAGACAATTAAATAGTTTTGATAATTTGAATAAGGTTTTATTGTAGAAAAAAAAAATTAAAGTAGAATTAGACTGTGCACAAGGCAAAAAGGCTGAATAACATCTACCCCACAATTTAAGGACAACCTCTTCTCTTCTTCTTCTATTTTGAGCCAGAAAGTCAAATATACCAGTTACATGTAACATTTTTTTTAATAATGATCTAAATTGAGATGTTCAATCTTTGTGCACTAATATAACAATTTTTATTTTTTTTCCTTTAATTTTCAATTAAATAACAATTAAAGAACATATATTATATATCTCTTAAAATTACAATGATAATAATCTTATTCAAGTTCAAACTAAAAAGTCATCAGTCAAAGAAAAATAGATCCAAGTTGTCAAAGTTACGCTATTCCGTTTTAAAGAACTTTTTTTCTTTTTATCAACGGTTACACATTTAGTAACTTTATAAACTTTAGCATTTGGTGTCATCATAACCTTTATCAAGCAGAAAACATGTTTTTATTCATAAACTTTGTCAAACAGAAAACATTTTTTATTAATGACTAAATATTAATTTTTATTCTTGTAATAAAAATAATTTTGAATAAAACGATGACAAAAAAAAGTAAATAATCAATTTTGTTGGTTTGTGTTTCCAACTTATGACAAGATAAACAATTTAAAGAATAAAAAATACTTTATAATTTCATTATTATATCATTAATATATACCGGGATGAGTTTCATCAAATAATTAATTTTATTATTTTTATTTTTTCATTGTTATTTAAAAAATTGGTCATAAAAAATGGTTCTTAATTCATATACAAAATGTTAGACTAATAAAGTTTATTTATCCGACCATCCGTTCAAGAATGGCCCAAATTGTTGTAAGTTACTCTAATAGGCCCAACTCAAAATGTGTGCTAATATATGGGCAAATAATTGTATATTCAAGCTCACAAATAAAAAGTGTTAACCATTTCAATCAAATCAGACATCATTGACAAATCATAATCCAATATTTTATGCATATAAAAAAGGAATAAGAAGAAAATAATTTTTAGTTTTAAAATTATAATTTTTATTTATTATTTTGTAATATTTTATTTTCTTTTTATTTATAAAATTTATTTTTTTTAAACAAATTGATAAAATACTTATATGGTGTACGGTATTTTTGTTAAAAACTAAAGTTAAATTCAAATTTTTATTCTTTATTTCAATTTTTGGATTTACTTCTCATCTAAGTTTATAAATATTTAATTTGACCTTCTAAATTTTAAAAATAAATTATATTTCCCATTTTTAAATTTTTTTTTATTAGATCAAATTGGTGTTTAAAATGTCATGGATAAACTTTTTTAATGATCATTTTAATGAATTAAAATAAAATTTTTGAACTTAAAGGATCAAATTAAAAAAATTAAACTTAAACTATCATTGAAACTAAAATTAAAATTTGAAACTAACCTAATTTCAACCTAAAATCTTTATTATTATTTTTTTAAATAAAGTGATCTTAAAATTAGTGTAACGTTACTAATGTTTCTAACTTTTTAGTTATTATAAAAGTTTTATTCTTATAAATTGTCTCGGTGTACATTTAAAAAATAAAATTAAATAAAAGTGAATAGTAGAATTAATAGAATTTAATAATTAAAAAATGTGAGAAATTTTTAATAATTATAATTATTAAGACAATTTTTAAATAATGACAAAATTAAGAATAATTTAACTATTTGAGACATAATT